ACTATGTAGATCAGGCTGGCCTTGAACTCACAGAGATCCGCCTGCCTCTGCCTCCTGAGTGCTGGGATTAAAGGCGTGCGCCACCATGCCCTACCCTCACATGACTTTTGACACATATGATCTGAAATTGAGGCATGGAGAAAGATAAAAGCCAACAGATAAGTAGACTTGAGATGAAAAACTGTGAGATAAAGTCATTATATAAACAGTAAAGGTCAGTTTATTAAGAGAATATAACCATTTTCATGTTATATATATTTAATATGTACCAAAGTATATAAAGCAAATGAACATACCTAAGGGGAGAAATAGGCAATAACACAGTAAAGGTAGGGGACCTCCTTACCTGACATGGAGCAGCTGACAGACCAGAAGGAAGCCCTGAACTCAGACTGCACTGTAGACTGCTCGTCAAGAGCAGCAGAAATCTTTTTTTTTTTGGGTTGCACACCAGGCTTTCTGTAGGATAGGGCATAGGTCACAGAAAACTTTCTGTTTTTAGACAGGGTCTCACTATATAACCCTAACTGGTTTGGAACTTGCTATGTAGACCAGGCTGGCCTCGAATGCAGAGATCTGCCTGCCTCTGCCTCTTCAGCGCTGAAATTAAAGGCTCGTGCCACCATGACGGCTCAAGAATATTCTTAAGATGATTAAAATTGTTTCAGATATCTTTCCCAACTACAGTGGTACGAAACTAGAAAGAACAAAATTACATAAAATAGCAAAATATATCCTGAATGACCAATGGGTCAAAAAATGAATCAAAAAGGAAATTAAAAGGCTGAGGGGAATAGCCCAGTGATAGATAACTTGTCTAGCATCTGTGAGACTCGCTAGAGAGAGAGAGAGGAGAGAGAGAGAGAGCGAGAGACATGAGTATCTTAAATCTTAAAAAATAATAAAACATTATTCAGCCGGGCATGGTGGCACACGCCTTTAACCCCAGCACTTGGGAGACAGAGGCAGGCAGATCTCTGTGAGTTCGAGGCCAGCTTGGTCCACATAGTTCCAGGACACCTGAGGCTACAGAGAGACCCTGTCTCAAAAAGACCAAAAATAAATAAATAAAACATTATATACTTCGGGTACCCAGAAAAAGAAGGAACCACCCAAAGTTATTGACAGAAGGGAGGAAATAGCACATTATAGATTAAGTGAAATAGAGACTAGAAAAATTATAGAAAAAGTCAACAAAAATTGAGTTGGATTTTGAAAAGGTGTACAAAATTGAGAAACTTAGCTAAACTGGAAAAAAAGATTTAAAACAAATACCACAAAATTTAAACGATTTTAAGAGATGGGCCAGCAAGGTGGCTCAGCAGGTAAAGGTACTTGTAGCCAAGCCTGACAAGCTGAGTCTCATCACCATGATCCACATAGTTAAAGGAGAGCCCACCCCTGCAAGTTGTCCTCTGACCTCCTTTTGACATGCATGTGTGTGCTCACACACATACACACAAAATAAATTAATAAAAGATTATAAGAGAGTAAGAAATTAACTGTTAAATGTTAATGAATTAGATAGTATAGAAGAAATGGTCTCATTCCTAGAAATAACCTACCAAGACTGAAACCTATCAAGAAATGACTGAAACCTACCAAGAAATACGTCTCGGCATAATGATAAAAAGATTGAGTCGGTAGTCAAAATCCCATCATAAGCAAGGCATGGTGGTGCATCCCTGTAATCCCAGCTGTGGGGAGGCTAAAGCAGGAGGTTTAAGAGTTTAGAGGCCAGCTTGGACTGGTCATGGTGACAACACACCTGTATTGCCAGTACTTAGGAGACTGAGGCAGCAGGATCTGGGGTATAAGATTAACATGGGCTACATAGTGAGGCCCTATCTCAAACAAAATAGCAAAGATAAAGAATAAACCAAGATGTGATGGCTTCACAGCTGACTTTTATTTTTATTTTTTGGGGGGGATATGACCTTTATTGAGCTCATCTGTACAAGACCAAATCTTTGTTACTATAACTTCTGCATCACAGTTAAAGTCCAAACAGTTTTTAAAAACAGTCAACTTAATCAAAACCCACTACTTCAGAATCAGTAGCTTCTTTGAAGCCACAGTTAAGACTCGAATGCAGAAATTTGTTTGGTTGGAAAGCTAATTAAGCTTCCACCTTGCTCAAATAAAATTACAAAAAGGCCAACTTGTGCTTTTCACAGGCATACAGTCCACTGGAATCACCAGCACTGGACATCTGCTGAGAATATTTAGAATCTTGAGATAATAAAGAATCGGGGCATCCTTAGACAGCCTTCTGTTGTCCTTTCTTCCCAGTCAGAGATTTGTGGACATGCGGGATCACACCACCACCAGCAGCTGTAGCCTTGATAAAAGAGTCCAATTTTTCATCTCCATGAATGGCAAGTTGCAAGTGACGAGGAGTGATACGCTTTACCTTTAAGCATTTCCCGCCAATTCAAGAACCTCTGCGGTACCTCTTAACACCAAGCCTCTCCCCTACCCCTTTATTTATTTATTTATTTATTTTTTTTTGAGAGAGAGGGTCTGGCTGCCGTGAAACTTGTTATGTCGACCAGACTGGCCTGGAACTCAGAGATCCCCCTGCCTCTGTCTCAAGTGCTGGGATTAAAGGCATGCACTACCACACCCAACATTTTTTTTTCTAAAAAATTTATTCTTTGACGGTTTCATGCACAGGTCTAATACATTTTGTTCACACACATTCTTACCTTCTCATCCTTATCCACCCTCCATCCTCTCCCTTCTCCCACCAAATCTCAATCCCACTTTCATGTCTTTTTGTTTTTGTTTTTACTTTGTGACCCATTGGGTTCAACACAGCTCCCTGTGTGTGTTCTTCTTTTGAGAACTGTTCATTTCATTAGCTGATTTGTTGATTGGTGTGTGTGTGTGTGTGTGTGTGTGTGTGTGTGTGTGTGTGTGTGTGTGAGTGATTTTTGTAATTTAATTTTTAAATTTGTCTTTTTGAGATATGGTCTCTCTGTAGCCCCAGCTGGTCTGGAACTCACTTGTAGACTAGGCTGACCTCTGCTCCCGAGTGCTGAAATTAAAGGCATGCACCACCATGCCCAACCTGTCAATTTTTTATTTTATTTTATTTTTTTTAGTCTTTTGAGTTAGGACTTCCTGTATCCCTAGCTGGCCTGGAGCTCACTGTATAGACCAAGCTGACCTTGAACTCAGAGAGATCCATCTGCCTCTGCTTCCCAAGTGCTGGTATTAAAACTGTGTGCCACTACGCCTGGCTTAATTTTTGTAATTTATAT